AGGACCTGATCTCCACGGCGACGCTAATTGGTCTCCAACCGGGACGCTCACACACGGGACCTCTGCCCCCCCCCTCTGCACCCCCCTCCAGAGTGAGGTCACAGCATCTGGAGGCCGGAAACAAGCCGACTTCCTGCCGCTCGACGCTACGATGCTACGCCCCGCCGGTTTCGATGAGTCGGAATGAAAACAAAACTACCGTCTGAGGGAGGAACCCGGTCTCTCCAAATCTGAGCAGGTAAAGCCTCTGAGTTAGAGGAAGAGGTTCTGGAAAGGTGGGCAGGGGTTCATTCTACCTCCTTAACTGTAAATCACAGCAGAGTTTTTTGTAAAAAAAAAAAAAAAGTGCCGACTCGGCAGAAACAGAAAGCAGTCGGAGGGTTTAGTTCGACTCTTAAACAGGCCGGAGAGCTCTCCTGTGCCACTTTCAAAACCTCAAACGGATGGAAGAAGACGCTAAACAACCCAGAAAAAAAGTGGTCGGGGCAGAAGAAGGGAGTGATACCGAGAAAAAGCCCTTCTTTCTTTCTTTCTCTCTTTCTCTCTCCTCCGCCTGAAGACTTTTACAAGAAGTGACACCCCAGACAGGAAGAGCCACTGACCAGATAAGCCGCAGATCTGCCGAGATACAGGGGCAGGAGAATCACCGGGGCCCCGCCACAACCTGTTTCTCACATGCGAACGACAAAAAAAAGAAAGAAGAAAACACACAACCCAGCCGCCCGGCTTTATCTCAAAAAAGAAAAGAAAAAAACTGAGCACGAGAACACTGATAACCAACACAAAAACAAAGCCTCAGACAGGACCAGCCTCGGTTTTTAGGACGAAAACGACAGATCGGGATCCCTCTGCCATCCTACACCCCACCCCAACACACACACACAGACACACACAGACACACACACACAACAGACACACACGTACACGCACACACAATAAAGTGAGGACCAGGAAAATGTCCTCACTTTCAAATAAGGACCTCACTTTGTTGGTTAAAAAATACTTATGGTTCTCACTCTGATGTGGCAACAATAATACACACAGACACACAACACACGCACAACACACACACACACACAAACACACACATTCTTGTAAGTACCTCAGACTGACGACCAAGTATAAGGACACACAAACTGAGGACCAGTAGTTCTGAGCGTCTTAGAACGATTGAGTTTTCAAATTTTCCCACTAAGTATCACACACACACACACACACACACACAGATACACGCACACACAATAAAGTGAGGACCAGGAAAATGTCCTCACTTTCAATAAAAGACCTCACTTTGTTGGTTTAAAAACTAGTTATGGTTCTCACTCTGATGCGGCAACAAGGACACACACACACACACACACAGACACACACCACACACACAACACACACACTTACACGTACACACAATAAAGTTAGGACCAGGAAAATGTCCACTTTCAATAAAAGACCTCGCTTTGTTGGTTTAAAAACTACTTATGGTTCTCACTCTGATGCGGCAACAAGGACACACACACACACACACAGACACACTCACACACACACAAAGACACACACACACACACAGGAGACTTTGCCCCTAGAAATACCTGCACCAACACACCGTTTCCCCTCTTTATCTACACAAAAAGGCCCGATACCCACTCGAGAATAATCAGAAATAGCCCGGCGAAAACCCCACTGTGTGAAATGTCATTTATTCTGTGAGTGAGCAGAGAGAGTGAAACCTTTTAGGAACCTGTAAACCGCAGAGAGAACCGGTGCCCACGCGCTCTGTCTTCTCATAACTGCTCCGTATCTCTCTATCACACACACACACACACACACACACATACAGAGGTCTGGTTTTACCTGAAATTACTTCATCAGCACTGTGACAAAAGGCACGAGTCCGCGTGAGAGTGCCTCGCGCCCAACCGGCCAGAAAAGAGGCTCGTTAACCGTTTTGCGTCAAACGTCAAGCGTCAAACTCCAATAAAATCACCTCTAATCAAACCGACACGTAATTACCCGGTAAGAGTGTGTGAGAAAGATGAAACGAAGTGGCTCTAACGGCCTAATAAAAAGTAGTAAAAGTCGGTGGATTCAGCATCTCCAACCGCCCGCGTGAGCTGATGTTTAAACGGTTTAACGGCCAAAAGGAGGAAAATGAGCGGGAATAGATCAGGTTTAGGACATGTTAAGGTGTTAAGGGGGGGGGG